CGGGGAGTGTCCCGCGTGGACTCCCGGGTTGCCTGGGGTGCTCCGTGGAGGCCGGCGGGGCGGTGGGCCGGGGAGTGTCCCACCCTGGAGGGATACCTACAGTGGGCCGTAGGGACCCCCTCGGCGTGGGTCTGGAGGTGCCGGGTGGAGGCACTTTGAGCCGTTTGCCTTTTCAGCCTTTCTTTAAATTGTATCTTAAAGGTGGGAATCAAGTGTTAGGTGTTAATATTTTTACTCCACTAAGGGCTAGAAATGCTCCTAAGCCAGTGGGTAGCCTACCGAGGGAACCCATGAAAACGGGACCAGAATATGGCCCAGTGCCTTGCACACCCAGATTCGAGGCACCTTTTCCATTACGCTGTGGCAGCAACCTCTGGCCTATCATGTGCCACTAATGGATGTGAAAAACAGAAATTAGAACGAGGCAGCATTGAAGGAAAGATTGTGGATACATAGTGTTAAAAAAAAAAAAAGGATGGCCAGATTTAAAACCCAAGGCCAAATCTTTAAAGGGTGATTTTTCTCTCTGGGTTTGTGGGGTATTTTTGGCTGTGCCAGTGTGGAAATGTTTGATAACCCTGAGGTGGCAGTGGGTTAGCGCGTTGGTCTTGTGTAGACTGCCTTATAACCGGCGACACAGATTTTCTCAGTGCCAGAGAGATGGGAGAGGACATTTGAGGTAGGGAAGAATGGAGTCACCTTTACTTGTAGGCCAAATAGAATTTAAATGTTCTACGTCTGTTGCTTATTGAAAGATTTTTTTTTTTTTTTGAAGTCTTTAAAAGTTTGTAAAGCACTTCAAGCTCATTATTTATTCAGTTTTCCAAAACTCTTCAGAGACATGATCAAGTTGCACAGCCCCGTTTTAAAGTAGAGGAAAGGGAGGTTGAGAGAGGTGGAATGACTGGCTTAGGGTTAACACCTAAGGTATTTGCAGATACCATCTGTACTTCTCGTGTCCCCTATCCTTACTGCAGGTTCGCATTAGATGGTTCACTATTAACAAGCTAAATGCTGATGATGCAGTTTCCCGGACTGCAGAAGTTTGCTGGCTTATTTACTACAGGACTATCAGTTGTTAGTAGATTTCCAGGTTCCTTCTATACTAATTCCTTTCCCAAAGAGGAAGTTGATGTAAGGTATATTCATTTACCTTTGCCTCTGGTTCCTTATTCAAAAAAATGGGTTTAAAATTTATTTACCTTGGCCAGGCACAGTGGCTGTAATCCCAGAACTTTGGGAGGCCGAGGCAGGCAGATTTCTTGAGCTCAGCCGTTCGAGACCAGCCTGGCCAACATTTTAATAGAGTAGGTAAAACTACTCTATTAAAAATACAAAATACAAAAATTAGCTGGGCATGGTGGCACACGCCTGTAATCACACCCACTCGAGAGGCTGAGGCACAAAAATCACTTGAACCCGGGAGGCCGAGATTGCAGTGAGCCAAGATCATGCCACTGTACTCCAGCCTGGGTGCCAGAGCAAGACCCTGTCTCAAAAAAAGTTTAAAAATTGGCCGGGCGTAGTGGCTCAAGCCTGTAATCCCAGCACTTTGGGAGGCCGAGACGGAGATCATGCCACTGCACTGTAGCCTGGGCAACAGTGTGAGACTCCATCTTAAAAAATAATAATAATTTAAAAATAATAAAATTGTTTTTCTTTTCATTTCTTTTTTTTTTGATATGGAGTCTTGCTCTGTCACCCAGCTGGAGTGCAGTGGCACAATCTCGACTCACTGCAACCTCCACCTCCCTGGTTCAAGCGATTCTCCTGCCTCAGCCTCCTGAGTAGCTAGGATTACAGGCGAGCTCTACCATGCCCAGCTAATTTTTGTATTTTTAGTAGATACAGGGTTCCACCATGTTGGTCAGGCTAGTCGGAACTCCTGACCTCGTGATCCGCCTGCCTGGGCCTCCCAAAGTGCTGGGATTACAGGCATGAGCCACTACACCTGGCCAAAATAAAAGCTGTTAACAAGGTGCCTGGCACAAGGTAAGTGCTTAATAATGTTAGCCATTATTATTATCAGGTGAACAAATAATCTGAGTGGAAAGTAGAACGAGCTAACCCTGACTATTTACAAAGAACAGTTGAGAGAAAATTAGGCAATAATTAAGCATATTTATTCTGTGTGGAAGGAATGATATGAACTGGATTGCCAAAGCAAAGATCAGTGCATGGTCAATTCCATGTGAGCTCATTTAAATCCATTTGGCCCAAGGAATTCAGTTGCTTCCTTCCTTTCCAAACACCCCTGCTTCTAGTCACATCAATACCTCTTCTATATTCAGACAGTAAC